CAAAGAATTTCCGTTAAATTTGACTTTTTAAAATGTTGTCAATTGATTAACTCATGCGCGCCTGCCTGGAATAATATTCATTGCTGGCTGAGAAAAATGACTGTGACAAACTGCTTATACGACCATTTCTTACTTGTCACTCTCAAACTCATTGATGAGCCAGCAAGTTTAAGAATTGAAAAGAAAATCACAACCGCGTCGCTGTTTCGATATCTGACTTAATTAGCATATATTTTTACGATCTTATTTCTCCGCTTTCTCCTTAGTATTAATTTCAACCGAAGTGTGTCAGAGAAAATGTGTTTCACTCCGCATTTCTAAACCCCTTGAAGTTCGTAAAAAGTACGTTTTAATTTCAACTCTCTTTTTCAACTCTCCTTCGCCGTGTTTGGAAATGTAGAAAACAGTCTCTCTTGTTTAATTTGATTCATTACGCATCATTGTAAGTTTTCCAGTGTAAATTAAAATGGCACTCCTTGACAAGACGGAATATTTTAGCGACTGAGATTACAGGGAGCTCCCATGTTAATTTAAGGGGCGGGACAAACTCATTCCCAGGACTCTTCTAAATTTCAAGGGAAAAAACACTGGGAACGAGACTGGGACGAGGATGCTCGTGTTGCAGGTTGGAACCTTTGTGTTTCGACCGCTCGTGATTGGTTAAGACAATTAAGTTGGAATTCATTTGTCGTGTCCTGTAATCTGATTAGTCAGTTTTGTTTTAGTGATCACGGTTTACCGTAGTTACACTGCACGATTAATCCTACAACAGAGAGAAACTGTTCCTGAGCAATAACTTAAATCTTTTTATTAATAATTATACATAAGATCCGTACAGTTTTTGCAAACACTCTTTCTCAGTCAGATACTTCGTCAACCCCTCAACTCGCAAGGTTTGAATTCAGGAACAATGGCTAAGGCCTGCGAATGAGGTTGTTCACTTGGCGAGGAAATGCCGACAGCTTTTTACACACAGAGAGTTTCTTTTGAGTGATTTAGTCATTTGGTTAGGCTTAAAAAAACTCTAACATGTAGAAAATATCTACAGAGACAGAAGGGAGATATAAATTATCAATAATTACATATTTCTTTTAAAATACAGTTTTGATTACTCTTATGTTATCTCTTTCGATATGGAACCATATCTAGTGGACCCGAGATGTGCTTACCAATTAGACCCTCGTAAGCAGCCCTCGTAAGGTCTCACATGAATGGCTTGCTACCCTTTGAGAGAACAATAAAACAAACAACAGAAACAATGCCCCTAGCCCTAAAACAATAACAGCTGCTAACAATGAGGAGAATTACAAGCTTACGAGAGATGCTACAATTCTGATCTATGAAGGCGCCATAAAGTGTCACAACAGGAGCCAAATCAGGTCGGTAAAAGAAAGTTTTGCATCTCTAGATAAAACCTTAGTTTGCAATTTGTTAACAATTCTTTCACGCGGTATTACAATAGACCTTTCCTGCATTCCAATAAACAATGACACCGAGTCGAGGTCAGGGTGGAGTACAATACAGCAAATGTATGAAAATGTCCACCCCAACCTCGCTCTGGTGTTATTGTTCGTACGTACTGAGGTTGAATGCGGGGAAAGTCTATTGTACTGAACATGGTGGTTCTAACGCGTAAAGACCCAGTAATGAGCATAATACACCTTATTCCAAAATGGCCGCCATTTTAGTATTCTTTGTTTCCTTGAAAATGAGCCCTTGTTGCCTCGTTTAAGGGAAAATATTCTTTTGAATTTCGCGTTTAAGAACGAGGCAACAAGGGCTAATTTGCAAGTAAACAAAAGAATACTTAAATGCGACTATTTTGGAACAAGGTGTATGCTTTTCCCGCGTCTGTTATTGTTTTGGTTTACATGATAACGAGGCTTTTGTTTTCCAATGCTGCAAAGCGCGCAATGAATCGTGGCCAAAACTGGGTCCTTTAAACCTAAGGGTGAAATCAATAAAAAAATCCAACATGTAACCATTTCAATGAAAGCTACTGAGTAGTACTTTCATATGGCCTCGTTTGATTTTCGACATTGGAAAAATTCATTTTTTTCGTCTTAATTTGAAGCTTGAGCTCTGTTTGTTAATACTAAGGGATTGATGGATTTGTCGTAACACCATCACTCGGGTAAATCACAGCGGGGCTCATCGACACGCCCACAAACACTAGAAGAAACCATCGACACTCGAAGCAAAACACAGGTAACTTGACATGGTGGCAAGTGAAGGAAAAGTTCTTCGCGTCAAATCTCAAATGGTTCGGTTTGTATCTTATTAGGGTGTTAAGATGGCGCCTAGTAATCAGCGAGGCTTCCACTCTTGGAAGGGCTCATGGATCTGGAGAATTCTCTCATGGTTGTGGCTAGCTTCTCAAACTCTTCCCATTTGACGGACTCCAAGCTTCTCTGCATTCGAACTTTTGATTCCAAATGTGAGCAGCGAGACTCGGAATCCTCGAGTCGCAACTTTAACCTGTCGATTTCTTCGTCTCGTTCATCCAGCTGTGAGAGAATTATTGGATCAATTAGGTCTCTAATTTATAGTCGAACCCCTATTAAGCCGCTACCCTCAGGGAAATGGGAGGTGGCCGCTTAATAGAGATTGGTTTACTTTCAATATTTTTTGCCATCGAGCTAACTGGTTAGTGAGTATGAATTCACGTCAAGATAATGATGGTAAACGTGTGTTTGAATGTTTTTACCAGGCGTCCCTTTCTATTTCCGACTCTTATCTATCATCGCCTTTTCCAAAATAGGCGAACTACGTGTATTAAATTTTGGGTAGCCGTTTAACAGGGTAAAGACAATAGCAAAACCCTCATCAGAACTACCAAAATAAGGCCGCGGCCGCTTTATAGAGGTGGCCGGTTAACATGGTTTTTTTTTGACAGTCTTTCACTAACAAAGATTTCGGGACTTTGAAAACTGACTGCTTAATAAGGGGTGGCCGCTCAATACATGTAGGTGGCCTCTTAAAAGAGGTTCGACTGCATCACTAAAAAGTCACAGAACCGCAGGAAAAGGAAACAGACCACGAACCTAACCAGGGTTGAAGGTAAAGCCCCGCAGGTAAAACCAACAGACATGGGTCCCGGCCGTTCAAAGGACGGATAAGACAATCCACCGGATAAATCGCTATCCAGTGCATGGCGTGGTTTGTCTTCTCAATACTTATCCACCGGAGAGTGATGTATTCGGTGGATTGCATTATTCACAGTTTGGACGACTGGGGCCTATGGATTAGGGTGGCAAACCCGCGGGTGAAGAGAACAGACCCGTAACATTTCCTGCGCGGTTAAAGGGCACAGACCCGAGGGTGAAGGTAGGACACCCGCGGGTAAGGGCAATAGATCATGGGCTGAGGTAACAGGCCTGTGGTTAAGGATAACCCGGAGCTGAAGACAACTGTCTCGCGGCTGAAGATAACCGACCTGCGGGGAAAGATACCGTAACTGACCTACAGGTAAAGATAGCTGACCACTAGTAAAGGGTAACTGACCCGGAGCTGAGGACAACTGACCCGCAGGTAAAAACAAGTGAGGATAAACTAGCCACGGTTTAAAGTAACAGACCCGCCGGTACAGAGAGTCAAAGCAAATACCTTGGCATTCAAGCTGGCCACCTCGTCTGTTAGAAGCAGCTTGTCTCTTTTAAGAGCGACATTCTCTGAGTTGGTTGAGTCCTGATGTCCCTCTACTTCGTTCAGCTCGTTGCGAAGTTGAGTTCGCCTCAAGTTAGCTGCCAGGAAAGAACGTCACTGTCTTTTACAACTAACAAGTACGCGAGGAAATGATAAACTAGTCAAATTGAAATAAAGATCCTTAAAATTCTGTGTTAGTTATCAGACAATATGCTCTCGTAACCTGTTTCGATCTTCCTCATTATTAACCGTCCCTATTCCGTCGGGGCTTATAATTATTCTACTCGTTTTTTTCTATCTTAGCAAACTATGACTTTGAGGCTTGCAAGGTAATTTTTAACATCCCCTAAAAGCCTTGTATGTCTTCACATTCTGATAAAGATAACATCCACTTTATTACCGAAACCAAAAAAGACCCGAACCCTACCCGACCCGAAAACTGAGGATTCTTTCAATCGATCGTTCGAAGAAGTGAAATACTACGATTATCAGTTGAGTAAGGCGGGGCGAAAGTTTGGTCACCAAGTTTTAACGTAAAAATCGCATTGTTGTCACGAGCAACTGGCTCCGTATCCGTTGGCAACTTGTCAGCCTTTGACGTCAATTGGCAGCAAAGCGCGCGAAATTGTAGGCGACGCGACAGACGACCAACGGTTGTTGATACATACAACCTTTATTTATACACGATAAAAGACGTCAACGCTAACAAGCTTGTGGGGTCGTGCACTAATAAGATACATAAAATAACTACAATTAATAGATAAATAATTAATACAGTTAATAAAAAATTAATACAAGAATTAAGTAATTCTTATAAAAAATATNACTAGGCAAAAACATATCAGATTAACAAAGGGGAAAATTTGAACATTTTGTGTCTTCAAGCTTTTAATTTGGCGCCAAAAAATGGGTCGCTTGCGTTCGGCAACTCGCACTTCGATCGCTGTCAACACTCGCCAGGTAAGAAAATAGTCGTGTCATTTTCAACAAAATATGCTGTTTAATCAAACCCAGAATTTTCGAGTTAAGCATTAGAAGGCAAAGTAACTTAAGTACTGTCTTTATTTTTGTTAGCTGCGAAGAAAAAGACTATTATCGTGTCGTTTTGGTAGGACAGGTCGGTTTGACTGCCGCCCGTACTGCAAGGACAGTCGCCGTAGGCGTGAAGCAAATCATTATTAGGCAGTTTTTTTGTTTGTTTTTCGCATTTACCATTCACCACCCCTGATTTACGACGG